GGAGAAGTTATCTGAATGTGGCAGAAATGGTCTTGCTCAGGTTCTGGGGCAAGGTGCAAAAACAACCCACGCCCCAAATCCTGTTTTTTTCATCTTTTTAATGATTTTTAACTGGCAAGTTCCCTAATCTACTTGCCAGAAGTGGGAAATAAGAATATTACAAGGACTCTTGCTGCACCACCTGAGGTCAATTTTATCTGGTGGCTTTGACAATTGCAAAAAAAAAAAAAAAAAAAAAATCAGTTTTTCCACTTTATGTGCCTACTCAAAAAACCCCCAATTCTGTGGGTGCCAACTGACAAGAACCCCAAAGAACCCACTGGGATTTGTTGAGGACCTGCAGAATCAGTTTTGTGACTGACTTCTCATTTCCAGAAAAATGAAATCACTGCATTTTACGTATGTCTTTTTGAATCAGAACAATGGTATTTCACAAATACTTGATGTCAACAAGTAACACTGTTTGCTGGAATTCAGACATGAAAAAGAGAGGGTTGGACTGAAAATAAGTCTTTATGGTAACGAATAGACTGACTCACAGGAAAAACACATTGATTGACTTCATACTTAAGTGTCAGTCATCCTCCTCCTTCCTTTCTTGGGGGTGCTTTTAACTTCAAATAAATTGCATCATTATCTYTACCAGTAAAATGGAAATTCCACCYCAGTTYTGATAAGGAYCATCAATACAAGAAAAGAATTACCTTAGTGCCCATTGCACAGATGGGTTCTTAGGGGGCTKTGTTTTTATAATGATACGTTAAATTTTTTATCAGTTTTCCCAGTGAGATCAGCATTATTTATAAGCACTGAAGACATCAGAAAATACAAGCATGGCACTAACAAACTGTGAAGCAGGAGCACTGGAAATATTGTGGCAACATTGCCACTGAGTATTTATAGCTCCATCCTCAGCAATTCACCAGTGGCTTTTCAACGGTGACTTTTTTAACCTCTGAAGCAAGAGTTACTTAAGAATTTTTGTAATTTGAATTGTAGCCCATTTTATAAATGGAAGCTAATGAGACACAGGCAGCTCAGCAGAAGCCACACAATGTYGGCACAATCAGCACTTTCAATTGTTTCCTAATCCCACACTTATTCCTTGAGATTGGAGTTCCACATACAGGAGATAAATAAGTAGCAAAAGTTTGAGTTYCTTTAAAAGAAATGTGTATGCAGTTCTTTGTCATAGCTTTAAAGGTTGGCATGGAATGTACACCATTTTTCAGGCAGCTTTTTGACAATTTATCATGATACTTGATTGTAAAGCTACTGGGACTTGCATGGAAAGATATTCAAATGTACAGCCTAAACACAMAAGCCCTTTCTGTCTTCTACAAACAACTCAATTCATTGAAATAAAAAACTACGAGTGMAAGTTCTACCTGGAATATAGGTGTAAATAAAGAATGAACCTGAGACAAAGAGGTGCAGAGTAGCATTTAYGAGATTTATGACAGCAAGGCTCAATCCTATCATTATGATAATTTATTCCAGGCAATCCCTTGCATCTGGGACAAACTGGTGAAGTTCTGCGGTGATTTGAGGCACAGGCTCCACACTGGTATGAGAAGATATTTATTGCAAAAAATCCATGGCTTTTAAACACTTTGTTATGTTATTAGTTGTTTTTCACCCCTTCATTTCCGTGAGTTACAGATTTGCATGGAAACCCCTCCAATAACAAATAGATGCTGTAACCAGAATTTCTGTGTKTTTGGAGTGTCCCAGCAATGCACCCAGCAGGGATGTTCTGCTCCTGCCTCGAATGCACCTTTCCATATTAAACCTTTTCCCTCRGGATCAAACAGACTGTGCCAAGTTCTGCAGTGAAAGCCTGATCCAAACATCATCCCAGTCTGCAGAAATATCCCAATTGATTTCCAGSGCTCTGGAACGGGCCCGTATTGACATCCATTCAACTTTATTGACCCAAGTTTTCCTGGGGAGCTGCAGGAGCCAATACRGCCATAACAACCTCAAAACCAAGCGTGAAGGCCACTGCCAGTCAAATCACATCACAGAGAGGAAATGACAGCAGAAGGAACTCATTATGGTTTATCTAGATTTAAAAATCCTCAGGTTTCCAAGCTCACTGCTGCGTTTTCCAGGTGAAGGAAACTTTCAAGCTGCCTTTGATCCCTCATAGATTTTTCAGTCTGAGTCACAAACCATTTATTTATCACAGGCCACTGAAATAACTGCAAGGTTTGCATGAGGATGATAAGCTTACCACACTAAAGATRCACAAAATTTAATATATTTAGGAGTCTTGGCTATCTGCTAGCAGCCACTACTTAAGTTTTTCCTACCATTAAACTCACATTAAAGTCCCAMTGATCATCAGTAGGAATGAAACATGAGTTTGCCCTCAGGACTGGCATTCTCTCATCACCAACTCAGTTCTTTGCTGACCTAGTGATCAACACAGGTCACCTCATGTGCTTGAGACATTTATTTTCCCATATATAATGCCATAATTTTAAGGGGAATAGTTTGGGAACAAGGATGACTGCATAGATATGAACAAGGTCTCTTTGGGGAGTTATTATGTTCTGGATTGGGATGTTGTGGTAAGAAATTATTTGGTAAGAAAGAGAATTTACAAGMAAATCCATGGAAAACGTTAATCTATTTGAGTAAAGGAGTTTAGCAAACATCAATGGAAATCTTTACTGAGCATTTCCTGAAACGTGCTTAAGTACATCCAGACTAAAGAGAGATGATGGCACTCATACCTTTCATAATCCCAGAATACAATATATTAATCTGGATTTTAATAAGGCATAAAGAAAAKAATTCTGCATAGAATACTTAAAACTTGAGTACCAAAATGATACTCAGCACTCTGCAAAMCTGCCAGGGAAAGGATTCCCTCTTGCTGCATAGCCCCATTGCTTAAGGAAAATCCATCAATATCTTTGGGAATTCTTGCCCCTAAGCCTTGAGTGACAGTGCCTCATGTCCAGCCTCACTGTTCTCACTGAGCTGATGATAGCAATTAATTTGTTAAAATCCTGAATCTCTCCATAAGCCAGAAGAAGAGATGGACTAAACATCAGCAGACACTGCTGCAGTGCAAAGAGCACTTGCACTACCCTGGGAACCAGCAGAATGAACACAAGCATCACACTGACTATTAAATTCCCGCACTCCAAACCTTCCTTTCCAAACAGAGATGATTTTGTCCCACCCGGTTGCTTTGAAGCACTCAAGAAATCTGATCTTCACAATTAAATACCATCAGGTATATATGAAACCTCTAAGTCCTACACGTTTCTCAGAGACGATGGAAATAACAAGGTAGCCATCCCTGTGGTTTCTCCTCTTCAAGATGCTCTCCTTCCCCACTCAGAGATCCAGACATCCTCCTTTTGCTAGAATCCACATAAAGGTGCATTTTACAAGCAGCTTTGAAAACTGTTTATAAACCAATCTGTTTTCAACCTATTCTGCATGCATCCCCCGCCGGAGTGTGTGTAACATGACCTCTGCACACCTGCCAAGAGCCGGGATATCGGTTTGATACCCAAAGCATCTCCCTCCCTCCCCCTTCCCCGTGCCTCGCCGTGATCAATGAAGGCATCCGCAGCCGAAGCGGGTGCACCTTCTCACACCTGCCCTGAGCCGGGATTTTCCTGTGCAGCCCCGAGCCCCTGTCCCCTCCCTTCTCGCACGACAGCCCGAGCATCCCCCGCCGGGCGCCGCGGCCCGGGGCAKCCCCCGCGCACCTCCCCGCGCCGCGCAGCATCCCAGCCCACGGCCCCTGCCTCTGCCGGCGCTGCGCCCAGCTCCCCCCTCCGCAGCCAGCCAGCCAGCCGGGCTCTCCCCGCGCCAGGTGCGCTTCTTTTTTTTTTTTTTT